TCCAACCTGGCCTTGAACACTGCCAGGGAGGGGGCAGTCACAGCTTCTCTGGGCAACCTGGGCCAGGGCCTCACCACCCTCCGAGTAAAGAATTTCTTCCTTATATCCAGTCTAAACCTACCCTCTTTCAGCTTGAAGCCATCACCCCTTGTCCTATCACTCCATGCCCTTGTCAAAAGTCCCTCTCCAGCTCTCTTGCAACAGGTACTGGAAAGCTGCTCTAAGGTCTCCCCGCAGCCTTCTCTTCTCCAGGCTGAACAGCCCCACCTCTCCCAGCCTTTCCTCACAGCAGAGGTGTTCCAGCCCTCGCGTCATTGCTGGGGTCCTAAAAATGAGATGTCCCATGCCAGCCTCCCCCCAAAGAAAATCCTTTGTGGATGGATCATACACGACGACGCAGCACTCAGGGAAAGCCACCGGGCCCACAACAGGCAAAACGAAACAAAATTAAAAAACAAAAAAAATCAGAACAAAACCAAAAATCAACTTTACATAGCATAATATTACATTCTCTTTTCCTAGTTTCATTCTGTACATCAGAACACTGTAAGGGTTTGAAAAAATAAAAAGGCAAAGGCACCTGAGGAGCGAGTCCCACACGCACACACGCACACACACACACACACGCACACACACGAGCCACATCCACCCCCAGGAGAAGAATTTGGGTTTTTTGGGGGCCCTGGGAGCGTTGTGGGGCAGCCAGGAACCCCGTTTTGCTCTCAAGGCTTTGTGAAGAAGGGAAACACCCACCCCCCCACCGAAAGGCTGAGAAAGTCAAACCCCAACAGAGTCAATGAAAGAGGAGCAAACAGCTTAAAAATGGTTTGGGTTTGGTTTTTTTAGCTTTGGTGAAAACACACTTTGTTACCCTCTTCTGACAAAACCCTTCCCAGCCAACACTGAGCATTTTTTTTCTTGTGTTTTTTTCATCCATCCCACATTACTGAACAGAAATAGCCATAGGATTTGGTCCTATTCACAGAATAAGATTCCCCATCCCCCCTGGAGCACGGAGATGCCTTCATGCCCCCCGGAGAAGAGCTGCCCATCACCGCCGAGCTCGACTGCACCAGCCCCCAGTGTCGTCCCGCCGCAGCCCTGCTGGCCTCACTGGAGCCCAGCCTGGGTAACCACCGGCCTCAGCAGCTTACAGGGAAATGTTTTAGCTGCTTGTTTTAATTTGCTCTAACACTACCAGTGGTTTTTTTTTTTAAACTGAAATAACTCTAATTTTTGCTTCTCTTTTTGGGACCGCGGACAAGGAAACGCTCCCACCGCTGCATGGCCGGTGCCAAGGCTCCATCCCTTCCACATGGAAGAATTCAAGGATGTGCGAAGTCACAGCAACAACCACGTTTTCGTTTCCCCTTCAGCCAAGCAACACTTTTCATTTTTGAATTAAACAAAAAAAAAATTAAAATCAAACTGTGTTTGACACCCTGGCCTGAAGCTGGCAACCCCCCTGGTAACTGCTTATTTAACCCTTTGCCAAGACAAGTGGAAATAGCTGATGCAGCAGGGAAGGGGGAGGTGGGATGCTGCAATTAATTCGCCCAAAAGAACCAAGATCTGGTTAATTAATCAGCTTCCAGGGACTCTGTGCTTGCTCCCTGCCCAGGATTTCCAGCAGGGCAGTGCCAGTCAAAGAGGCTGTAGCACAACCGTGCTCTGAAGTGCCCCAATTTCTCCTACGACTCCAAATACGCGGCGGGAGGAAATCTGCATCCAGCTGCCACCGCAGGCGTCAGCAGCATCTAAACATCCCCCCTGCATGGCCCGTGGCTGAGGTCCCAGGCATCCGTCTGTGCGTGGACCCCGCAGAGACCTCCTGCGCCCGGAGAAGACCCCTTCTTCCCAGACTCACACACACGCGCATGCACACACACGCACAAAGGCAAAGTCAACGCGGCTGCTTGTGTCGCTGCGCCCGACTCCGTGCTTTGTGCCGAGTCGAGCATCACTCCTTGATTGTAACCGCGTAAGGCACAGAGCAGTACTGAACGCCGCCTGGTCCGCGACCTCCAGGAGGGTTTGGTCCCCTTGCGAACGGGGACAGCCGGGTCCCCCCGACTCTGCGGTCTGAGGATCATCTCCTCCCTCTTGGCTGAAGCCCGTGTCTGTTCCCCTGCGAAAGGCGGTGATCGCCACCGAGCATCTCGTTCCTCCGCCGCTCCCGGGGACGCTGCCAGTGTCGCTGTCGTGCTGGGGGGTGCAGATCCCACTCGCTCTGCTTTCCCCAGGAGAGAAGTAACACGACGAGGGGACACGACCCCGACATCGCTGGCGGCAAGAAGGTTACTCGGTCCCCGGCCAGCACCCGCACAGTCCGGGAAGTCCCTCGCTCCGAATTCCTGAGCGCAGCTTGGAAATCCAACAACGTGGCGGGTGCCGAGCAAGAAGGGACCGGCAGGGTCCAGCGCCAGGACAGCCCCGGGGTGAGGTCTGCACCGCAGAGGGCCCCGGGTCTGGCGGCCGTCCAGGAGCTCGAGACGCCGTCGGGGAGCTGCGGGTTGGTGGGCTGCGTGGCGATTTTAAAGATTGCCGCCATGGCTTCGAACTCTGCCCAGGGCGGCTTCTCCGTTAACATCTCCACCACGGTGCAGGCCACGCTCCTGCAACAAAGCCAAGCACGCAGGGTGAGACAGCGGGTAAGGGACTGGGGTGGCTGCATCTGAAGTCTGATCGGCGCTGGGATGGCGCCTGGCTGGAACGGGGAGCAAACCTGCGTGAGAGATGGGTGCACATCTCTGGTACCCATGGCCCCCTGAAGCTCCCTGTTCACACCCTCGGCACAGGGCTCTCCGCTCCCACCAGCGAGAGTGAACTTGCAGGCCTTGCCCTAAAGCTGGTGGCTTTTCCACCTGTGATAGCTGGCAGATATTAAGTTTTGTGAAAACACGTGAGAGACCTTATCAGAGCATGCCCTGAAGGGAAACCCAGGCACCAGTTTAGACACCATGGTTTCAGCAACAGCACGCAGCTCCCCGGGAAGCTGAGCCAGAATGAAACGTGTTCACCTACACCCGACTTCATCTCCAACGTGCACCTGAGAAGGAGCGCGTCAGACGAGCAGCACAGAGCCTGGCAGGTTTCCCTGTGCTTGCTGAGGAGTCCTGGTCTCAGCAGGGACCCTCTCTGCCACTGCCATTCATAGCTGCTCCTACAAAAATTGAACCCCCCATCGGGCAGAGCAGACGGTGCAGGGCTGCCTGCTAAGGCCTCCCCAGGTTTCCCCCCAAGCAGGGCTCCATCAGAGGGACGAGTTTTGTTGACCCTGCTTTGCTTGGGCACCCAATGGAAAGCACACTGCAAAAACAGTGGTCCCATTTACTGGGAGGGTAGCGTTATCCCTAGTCTTTCAGGCTCCAGCTGACATCTGTGGATCTCCACAGATCAGAACATTCACAGGCAGCCAAAGATTTTGGTTGTCTTTGTGCCTGAGCCACATGCTCAGCAGTTTTTGAGAGGCCACACAAGATCCCCCCAGAGCCTCCGAGCTAGGTTTAGCTGACATAAAATCAAGGCCACAAAAACTCAACATCTCTTTTAGCAAACTTTGTTATCAACCAATTTCCAGAATTAAAGAGCAGCTACGGGGTCGAGCTGCGCACGGCCCTCACACGTGGTAAGAGCTTCCAAAAGCAAGTTGTGATTCTGAGTGCTCCTGTTTTGGGATTTTCAGTACAACATGCTCCCTCTGGATTCCCACACAGCTGATCCTAACATTTAACTTGCACTTCCATCCTCTGCACTGCTCCACCTTCCAACTACTAGCTATACCTGTTGCTCCCACTCCAGCTTCCCAAAGGGATCATGGCGTTGGTGGTGGTGTTGGGTTGACGGTTGGATTTCATGGTCTTAGAGGTCTTTTCCAACCTT